CCCGGGTCTTTTACAATTTTTTCGGCCTAAACTGCTGCAGGGTACTATACATAGGGGGGTATTTTAGTCAGCGCTCTACGGTAATTATCGGTTATCGGAAGTGCGCGATTTCATATTCATATGAAATATCGGTTTTCCGAACAAATTTTATTTGGGAATTAGAAAAATTATCGGTTTTGGCGTTTATCGGTTTTTCGACTTCGACTTTGGAAACAAGCGATATTAATATGCTCAATGATGATGAAATTATTGCAACCGTCCAAGAGGCGCCTCTTTCAACAAGATAATGCCCTAAGCACACAGCTAAAGCAACGAAGCAACTTCTTGTCCAAAAATGTTAGATTGATCCTCAAATAGCCCAGATCTCGATCCGATTGAGAATTTTAAAGACACGGGTCGAAAAAGAAGTCAATCAAATATTGGTAAAAAACAGTTGAACGTGCCTAATTTAAATTACAGCATTTACACTTTCTAATAAATTAAGTATTCTTGACAAAAATTTGTCGCTTTCATTTTCGGAAATTAATTTAAGGCATTGTGAACATTTTGCTTTCATGGAAAACAAAAAAACGAACGCAAAAACATACACACATGCACACAAGCAATGGCTTTATCCAGACTGTTAATATTATTAACCGCGTGTATGGGAAAGAATGTCATATTAAACTAATTGTAGTACTATAATCTTTTTACAACAGTGTTGTGTATTCAAAATTAAGATTTACAAAACCTAGCGGATCTACCCTATATTACTTGGAAATAAATCATGTTTTGCAAGCAGCTATTAATAAAAATTATCCCGCTTCCTCATTGTAAATTACACCATAAATATCTAGTCGTGACCGATGCATCATCAGACATTGTCACATCATTATATTGGTTGCATCAATATTATCGCGCTATTTGCAATCCACGTGATTGCGTCAATCGTTTAATCTCGGCTTCCACACAATCTTCAGCATATTTTTGTTCACTCTCATCAAGGTTTTCATCTACGCTTCGATAATAAGTTTCGTGCTTCTCAATTGTAATAAGGCCGTCACGCAATCTGATAAAGCAACATATACCGTTCAATAAATAGATATTAGTACGAAAGATTGAATTATTACCATACCTCCGAGAAATAACATTGAGAACATTATCGTCATAAGTGGCTTCAGGTGGGATTCGACAAATTCCAGGATCCTTCGGTATATCTAAGTATGCCAGGTTACCTACATCCTCGTCAGCTTGTGTTGCAGTATTATCAATGACACGGTTCGATAATCCAACTTTTTGAACGTTATTGTTAAAGAGACGCTCTTCAAACGAATCATGTACCATCAGACGATACACGTATACTTTTTTCGTCTGACCGATTCGATATGCGCGTCCAACAGCTTGTTGTGCGTGTGTTGGATTCCAGTCGCAATCAAACAAGACAACACGGTTGGCTCCAAACAGATTGACTCCAAGAGACGCTGTCTTGATTGAGATTAATGCAACAACCCAGTCAGGCCGTTCGTTGAAGCTATCTATCATGTGATGTCTTTGCTGAAAGAGAAATATAAGTTTAATATAAACGGACACCAAGAATTATAGAAAAAGGAGGTATGATTACGTACGCTTTTGTCAACTTCTCCATCTATTCGGATTATTCTCGTTCGAGATGCTGGATGCTGCGTTACAGAGTCGTCGGTTTCTTGCCATTTTCTGAACTGCTTCTCGACATAGTCTAATTATACAAACATGATTAATATTTGTAATAAATCGCACGTAAGCGTCATATATTGAAACCGTGAAGCCTACCCAGCGTCGGCAGACTTTTTGAGAAAACAAGGACCTTGTCATTCTCAATTCTACATTGTTTCAGAATTTCCATGAGTACCAGCATTTTGTTGCTCAGTTTGATATCCTCAATATCTACAATGAAGATTCCTGCCTCAGAATTGATTGTCCTAGGATAGCAGAATATCAATAAAATATATGCTATAAACGTAATACCAGTTATGTAGGTTTTCTGATAATCACGAATTTTCTCCGCGACCACCGATGTGTATCTAATATTACGGACAATTAAATTTAATATCTTAAAAATATAGTAAATTTAAAATAAAGAAACTGCATGCACCTAACCTATCTTCGTCTTCAGGTGTATTAGTTGTTATGTATCGTGCATTTTTTGATCTGGATCGCTTCGTATTAGTAATGCTAAGCTGTTGAAGAGAATATGGACGCCTTCAGTCTTTTTGCCACAAATGAAAAGCAAATGATGCGTAGAAAGTTAACGTACAAAGAACATTGCCGGATGGTTTAATAAAAGGCTTAAGAAATTTCCAATTTCAAAGATCCTCGCTGGATACTTAACGCATTCGAGAAAATACTACAAAAGGCACGAGCATTAGGGCTGCATTCACGCGATAGTTTGGAATGAGTGCAAAACTTTTTACCTTGTATAGTTTGCGCTGATCTTCGGTATATCTGCAGAATATAACATAGTCTTGCTTTTCTGGTAGTTCGCCGGCAAGCAAGCTCTCATCTTTCCTATTTACGATACCAAATGTGAGTTACGTATCAGTGGATAAAATTCTTAATGGCATATGCTGAAGACTAACCTAAGAACAATATCGTTGATGATTTTTTTTAAGACATAAAGCATGATAGTTGCACTCTACGAAAAAAAAAAAATCAATAGCTGTTAGTAACGCGACGTCCTTTAGGAACAAGTTTAGAAAGTTCTTATCAAACCTTATGGCTAGCCGGAAGTGCATTTGGAGCTATTCCCGACTCTATCGGGTTGATATATAATTTCTCAAATTCTTCACGATCACCTAAGTAATTAGGACACACAAAGTTTATCTGAAGGCAAGTCGATAATTAAACAATGTTAACTATACAATAATACAGCTCAATCGATGAGTAATTTGTAAATCGATTACCGTTGAATAATATTCCTTCTGATGAAAGAGATGAAATAACTTATTAATACGTTACAACAATGTGATATAATCATTAACGTCGTTGCTACTCACTAATGAGTTTTGTAGAGGAGACCCAGTTAAACAAATTCTGTTCCTCGTTCTCAAGTCGCGTAAGGCTTCCATCAATAGCGTCTACAAAATAAGAACGGGTTCAATTGTGAGGCTTAAATGACAGAAATTATTCAATAATCCTTGGATATACAGATACAACAGCGTAAAGTATCATTGCTATTATGTCATAAGCAACGTCTCATATCCTTGTAGATATTATTATACCATAGTTGTAGCGGTATATCCATCATTATAAAATGAAACTATTGACTAACGTCTTCACTTTTAAATTTATGCCCTTCGTCGGCTATAATCAAGGAAGGACCAGGGTCAATCAAGTATTTTCGATATTGATTGATACGCCTTTGATCTTCTCTAAAACAGCTACGACTAATCATCTCGTAGTTCGTGATGATAACACCGCCCCTCTCCTGTCGGTGCCAGTTCTTTAACGTTCTTAAACGCTCATCCTCTTTCATAGAAGTATCTATATTGAAGATGTGTAGTGATCAGGTGGCCAATCAAATAACAGGTGTTCCGAAGACATTTGAAAGGCTTACCAAATTTTCCAACATGAGCGCAGAACTCCTTGCCATTTTCCATTCTGCGTAACCATTTGTTAAACTCTACCATCCAATTGTCAATCACTGTGCTTGGACATAATATCAAAACACGAAACCCATGATCCTTATGTATAAAATTAAATGTACACATCAGTTGACGTATCAGTTTATATGATTATACATTACAAAAATAGTATATACCATCAAATCCTGAGGAATCGCTTCATTCTTCGCCTTCATCTCTCTCCAGAGCGTATACAAAAATGTAATCACTTGTACAGTTTTCCCAAGGCCCATTGCGTGGGCTAGAGTACAACCAGTTTCAAACATAACGATATTTTTCCACAGAAACTGCGTGCCCTCAATCTTCCAAACGGTTTACCAGTTAGTAAATTACATAAATAGAGTTGGATCTTCTCGTCAAGTAAATCACCTGATGTTGTTTTAACTCCGAAGATAACTCTAACGGGATATATATATCTTCTTCTTCTGCTTCGTGGCCTCTGTTGATGGCCGCCCTTCCCATGCTATCAATAGCTGACTGTCTAAAATCAACAATAAAATATACTAAGCAGGTAACGTCTATCAAAATTGCTAACTAAATAGCCTCGAAAGCGGCATTATAACTTACTGATCATATCTCAAACGATATGCAGCTTCTCTGGCACGTCGTTGAGTTCTCATTGTAATTGTCCTAACAGATTCGGGTCGAACAGTGGTATTTTTCCCTTTTCGTGTTTGATTGGCGATCTCTGCCAAAATTTCAGGATGACGGATGTCAAGGTCTTCTGCTATTGAACTGTGGGTGGAAGCTTCGGGTTCAAGGCGGCGTTTCTTGTTCGGTCTACCAAAAGTCATTAGCGCAAATTTATTAAACCAGATTACAACTATACATAGCAGACACCTACATCGAACTGTCATCAGTTCTTGCAGCGACACTCAACAAGTTTGGAATATTTTTCTGAGCAGCCGCTTTACGCTTTCTCCAGTACTGAGCGAAACATCCTTCTTCAAAGAGTTCGACTGGTTCATTATTCGACGAATTCCTATTAATAGCCTGGCTATGATCAGCGGTATCGAATTCTTTATATTCAAACTCCTTGAAGTCGTTCCATATATGTGTCAAGATGACATATTCCGCTAATGTCGCGTTCGGTTCATTATAACAAATTACGGAATCTACCATCTTCTTAATTTTGTAAAAAAGTGCGGGCGCTGCAGTCGATCTAATAAATTCCTCGTCTATCAGACGTCGCATCTCAGGACCCAGGTCTTCGAGATAGTCATTTTCGAATTCAGAGTCGTGATCGGATACGTAAGCCATTTCGCCTATGTCGTCGTTTGACATTTCCGTTTCTGAAGCAGCGTCGTAATTGTGTTCTAGCCTTGAAGAGAAACCCTCATCCTCACTATCACTCATTATCAAGATTACTTCAGCATCAAGATCTATGGGTTTAGAAGCTGTTCCAAACCCAACAGTATTTTTTGATTGTGATGAAGACTTTCTCGCAAGCGGTTGGCCAAGTGAGGATCTGGTATTGTCATTACAAAGTGGTTGATGATATGAACTTCCCGCGTCATCACTTTGGATCGTGGATTCATCCATAAGCTGTTCACGTAAGCTAAGTGGGGTTGTTGAGGGACTAAAAACTTCATAAAAAATTGATTTCTTGTTTGGGGTGACGTTTTCCAAAAGGGAAGTATCAGCCAGTGTATTTGGCGCATCTGTCTCCATTAAATTAGTATCTTCTGGTTCACTTTCAGGAGAGATTGTATCAACAGAATTTTCTGTCACAGGTGGTGAAAGAACCAAATCCATAGTCGAACAATCAGCATCGATCGCTCCAGGAGTTATGCAGGAAATATCAACGATGGGCGCTGATGTTCGTTCTTCAATTTCCTCGATAACAATATCGCTATCTTCGTTATGGTTTGAATTATTATCGCTTTCTGTATTGGTTTCACCATTGTTATTTATAAAATTTTTTCTACCTACTTCATAACCTTTATTTACATTGTCTTTGGATTTTTTGTTGTGTCCATTGCTGTTATTACTTTCAACATCTTCATTGTTCGTGACATCCTCATCATCGTTACTATTATTATTGTTGTTTTCAACTATGTTATTCTGGATAACTGGCAATCCTGCATCACGCCGTAATTCAGCTAACCTCTCATCATTTATAGGAAGATCTGATTCGTCAATAAAGTCACTCAAGGAATCTTTGGAATTTTCAGAATCTTCGTCATCTTCAGATATTTCGCTATCTTCTTCGTAAGACTCACTAGTCAGAGCCGTTTTTGTTGCAGACTGTCCAGAAACGCCAGATTTATCTCTAGTTTTAGATGCTGGTTTGCGGGGCTGTTCACCTGAGAGCACACTAAGTGTCCATTCAATTTCAAAGATTCTTTTTAAACTTACGTCCAAGATGCCACATTGTCTGAGAAAGTCTTTAGAATTTCTAGCAAAATTTTTCTGAAGCTCATCAATTAGATCAGGGATTCTTTTTTGATTTAAATGTTCCATTTCGGTCTTTAATTCTTCTTGTCGATTTCTCCATTTACGCCACAAGTTCCACTGTTTCTGTGCATATTTCTCCGGCTTTTCCCGCTTGAGAGCTTCGCGTTTAACTTTTAGTTTCTTTCGCACACTTTCTATATATCCATCGATACTCTTCTGACAGTCTAAATATCTCTTGTTTATCTGCTCAGTTTCGGTTTGCTCTTCCTTCTCAACCTCTTTCTCCAAATCAGAGTCCATCATTTTGTTTTCATCTTCACTATCGCCGTATAACGGCAAAAGTGTGTCATCGTCACCCATTTCATCATAAGCGCCCCCATACGTACACTTTCGTGGCTTGTTCCTGATAATCTGAATAACATCTTCTGGTATTTCTTGTCCACATTTCACAGCTCGGAAACCAGCCGCTTCAGCCCCTATGTCATCTAAGATAACATATTGATCTTCGCTTTCTTCCTCGGTATCATCACTTTCCGACAATTCATCAGCAGCTTCGTCTTCAGTCTGCGAATCAGAGAGTACCAGGCGGCTTATTTCGTTTTCCTGGACAAACTGCCAAGAGGACGCAGCGCTTACCTCCGCCGATGAAGTTGTAGCTAATTCGAGACCTATGTTATAGCATAGGATTTATTAAGTCATTTAAAATTCAGGTTGCGAAGATACAAACTAATACTCACTAGCCTTAAGACCTTCAATAGCCTTTAGTATTTTTGTTCGCGTTCCCCACGATGTGAGGCAGAGTTCTTTAGTTAATACATCGTTATTGATGTGATCCAAGAGCAGTAACCCATCAACCTCATGCTCTATTGACAATGTAGGATGTAAACGTTAGCAAGCCTGTATGCTGTGAAATGGCACCAACTCGGTGTCAGATTATGAATGATTAGAGTGTGCTTGTATTAAGTTAATATCCCAATCTCCACAGGTATCTGTACTTGAATCGGTTTGCATTTGTGAGTGATATTATTTTCTAATCATACTACAATCTACACACTTCAAGTTACGAATTTACCTCTAAACGCGTGGCACACAGCGTCGACTTGCATTAGGCCAAGGCCTCGAAGCCAACCGCAGACTTGGTCGACCGTCCAGGTAGTCGGGGAAGGCAAGTTCCGGTTAAGAGTTGTGCAGGTCTCGTGCATATTCAAAATGGCGCCGCCACTGCAGCCAAGCGAGTAAATACGCGGAGGGGACATGTCAAATTTTATTTATAGCTGAACTGAAAGCCTTGGTACAACCATAAAACTCAACTTCCCATTCTTCATCAATTGCGTTAACTTGTATTACCAAATTACATTTTTATTCTCAAATGGAGATAACTAATTTAGTCAATTACAAATAACGATTTTCTCATTTTGGATACGATTAACTATAGGTTTTGAAAAGTGCATTTCCATCATGAATCAGTAGATGACTATTCTATCCCGAGTCCGTCAAGCTGTCGGAAGGAATCATCGATTAATGAACCACCTCAATGCACCTCCATCAATATTCTGTTTAGATAATTATCCTTATATTCCTTCTTCGTCAAGTCGATATGCAACCATGGCATCGATCTTGTGAAAGTCGGTGGAAAATGAACGCAAGCGGACTTGCTCCGCGTTCTGAATTAAGTGCGCATCGGAATCTCCCCAGTCATTCGGAACTTCGGCGTCTTTGTCAGTGAATGCGAGAATATTAAATGTACCTACATTACAAGTTGAATCATAAATCCATCCTCAATGTCAGAAGAACCGACTCCTACCAACGCTTTATACAGAAACACCACACTTCCAAGCCCTGAATCTTCATTAAAAAGACTATCTTATCCCTTTAGAACACTACGAACTCGGTCATTCTCAAATAGCTTACATTTGTCTTCTAACAAGGGCAAAAAAGTGACGCTCGCCGTAATCTGTCTTATTATCGCTTGTATCTCTGCATTGACCTCACTCCTTGGTTTCACGGTCTCTCTTGAAGTCTCTTCGGTCTCGTTATCCTTGACAACGTGTACATCAAATTGCCATCTCTCCAGAGTCTGACGAGTATCGCATGATATTATGGCCAGAACCAATTTGCTTATTTTCTTTGCCATTAACCAAGCTTCAAGTCAAAATAAGCAAAGATAAATTATGTGAGAAGAGAAGAGTATTTGCTTTTGTGCAAGCAGCATAAGTCATTTTACACATGCTTTCTTATTGTTCGGGGTACCAAGAAAATGTTACTTCACTCGATTTACCTTCGACCTGCGACAAGACTTTTTTTAAATAACACTTAACATTCTCATCAGCAGACACGAGTATATTGAGTCCGTATCTTTTAACCATTTTGAAATCTTCAGGAGGATATATTCCTCGCTGGAAAAGAAGACTGTGAGAGTCTAAAGGCGTAAGTAAGAAGCTTAAGTATCGCCAAAGAGCAAATAGAAGCATTACCTATTTATGCTATAGCCTAATGAAAATGAATTGTAATGTCAATTAAAGTTCCTAAACAGTAATAAATTTTCTCAAGAAAACACACCAAAGAACTCAACGATAGTCTCAGTGGAGCCCTTGAGCGTAATCTTGTTGCGAATGTTCTTTGTTGCAGTACCCATTTTCAAGCAGATTGTGGTTTGTATACAAGTTTAAATTAACGCGTTTACGGGGTGATTATGATCTACACCCACAAAATCTAAATTATGATGTCCTAATTTGGAATTGAGACGCGTAGAATCTATTGATCTTGGGCTGTGGAATAATAAAATGTCAAATTCGTTAACTTGTTGCTTCTTGTGGTAACGTTTCCAACATTTGAAGCGTCCAATAGTAAGGGACATTATGACAATATACAGATTACAGCGGGAATGCTTGACACGAGTATGATAGATGATGTTACAGAAAAGCTTTTGGCCCAACATTATGACGTTGAAATAATCCTCCGCAACCCTGCATTGTTTATATTTAATGATCATTGATTTTATTGTTAACAACACATTCATTTTTCTTTCTCTTCTTCTTCTTCTTCTTCTTCTTCTTTATATTGTATTTCGACCCTACACTCTCCCCGTCATTAGAAACTATGTATTCTTCGTCGCTCTTATGTTGTCGTTCCCGCTTATTGATATTAGAACCACAGTGTTTGACTTTCCTTACAAAACAGGCTACGAAGAATCCGTTGGTTGAATCCTCTGGGCATGTACGGATAAGCTTTTGCGCTGTGTCTTAAATAGACCAAGTCGTTATTCACTAATACGTATTTACCAAGTCAGTCGTAATAAATCATACCTTCATCCAACTCATTATTATCACCTCTTCGTTCCCAGGAGGGAATCACTTTGTTCCTGTCAGCAAGAACAAAATCATCTGTCACATGTAGTATTTCCTTAACAACACGCTCATTCTCTTCAGCATATATCGAACACGTCGAATAAGTGATCTTCTTAACGGAAGGGACTAATAAAAGCATATGTGTGTTGAGCATTGATGTTTTTACAACCATTAGAAAAACATTTCGAAAGAGCCTCGTGATAATAAGTACATTTGAATGCATGAAGAATTAGTTGAGTTTGGAATTCACTCAGATTTTGTAACCGCGCATCTTTTGAATAACATGTCTTTTGCTCTTTGTTTGACACCACGAGATTATTCTCTTATAAACAGATATACATGTTAACTGTAGTGACGATAGGAAAATCATAGGACATGCAAACGGCACGTATCTGACGTTGTTTCATCCTTACCCAACGAATCTATCAAATAATCCAATCGGCTTATAATCCCGCTTCCCGAGCAAGAAGGATCCAAAAGAATATATTCAACATTTGCAAATTTGTCATCCTTCGGATCCACATTCAAGAAAGAGCGATGAATAGCTTCGATGTCTCACATCCCAGTGCAATTAAGAGATAATATTTTATTTACATACTATAGGATACGTCCGTCAAGTTTTAATCACTTTCTTCTTCAGATAAAAGGATACTCTTACATCCAGCTCGTTCGGTCAAAGCCTTTAGGACGTCTAATCGCTTTCTGTCAATGTCAAACGCCCATATCTTCCCAGTATTTTCCATAATGGCTGATAAATGGGAAGTCTTATTTCCTGGTGCGGCACATGCATCAATTACATGTGCGTCTTTTGATGGTGAGAGAATGTAGGCTGGAAAGCAAGATGCTTTGTCCTAGTTGGAAGATTTTGTGAATATCAATAATAAAGGAGAAAAGTAAGCAGTAATACGCAGATAGAGGTCAATCTATAATACCTGAAGGATTATATGCCCCGATAGAAGAAGTCCATGATCGTGAAGATCCGTATTAGGTGGGAAGACAAGGAGATCTGGAATATGGACATCCCTCTTAATAGTCTTATGGCTGTAAGAGATAATAGCGATCAATACGCTACTGGCAATCAACATCAAAGTCTTGCAGATAGAATAGCTTATCAATAATTACTTGCCTTAAATCCGTAAAATCAGGTTCGTCGATACACCGGTATCCATCCTGCTCACAAAAATGCTTAATAACTTCTTCGACACTGGTCTTTAAGATATTTACACGCACAAAACGCGGTACATTTACTGTTCAAACCAAAAACACTAGATAAGTCCAACAATTGTCACGTTCGGATCTGACCAAGTTACTTTTTTTTTCTCGATTGTGACTCACCACTGTTTCTAATGTCTTTCGGTATCAACTCCTCATTACTTTTAACACGCATACGGATTTTCAATCTCACCAATTCGGCTCTTAATTGAATTTCATGTTTTATAACAGCTCTTCTGTATATGCCATCTGATGCTTGAATCCCATGATTAGTAAAAAGCAGATCGTGAAGTAATACCAAAGCAAGGTTATAATATAGCCTCTTTTCTTGAGCGAGAAGATTCGTCTTGTTGATTATGGTTGTGAGTGGGGCCGTATCTGTAGTGAAACAAAAATAATTGAATTCGAATATTTGCATAGATAACATGACGGGTTGAGCACAAACTTACATTTTAACGTTTCACATACAAGGGCGTACACTCTTTTCTTATCTTTATCTTTGACATCATTGCTAAAGGTTAAAGACTTTATTGTCCCTTCGTGACGTTGAAGTTTAGTAAGAATGTCTGCTGCCTGAATGTAGAAATTCATTAACCTTTCCTGCAGGGACCACCAAGCGAACAAATTTTTGGTATGCACGTGAACGTTTGACTGATCTAATAGGTGGAACACTGACCACGTTATGCATGCTCCGGAATGTCGTGAATAGACGAATCATCAACTAATAATATTTCAAAACATTCCCTAAACGCTATAATAGTTACGCAATAGAGTTTTAGATACTGCAATGCTTCTTTGTTTTCAGTTTCTTAATTCTTCTCCTCAGTCCCGATTTTCAACCACAAATGGATACTGCACAACCATTATCGTTATCGATATTCACGTGAGGTGGAAATTTTTCTCCGAGAAACCACTCACAAACGATATCTTTATCTCCTACTTCCCCAGCCATTATCTCTTGTCAGAACCAACTCCCCAGCTTACTTCAACGAGCGATATAATAGTATCTCTTTTGCTATGCCGGCGGAACGTAGCCAGTATCGAAAAAACAACGTACGCCCAAACCAACAGAACACTGTTACCAACAACGGCCTTCAATTACAAAGTCCGAGATTTAACAAGAGAAGCAAAAATCTTGGTGCCGAAAGTGTAATCTACGGTGAACCTAGTCGTGTCTCGGTGTTTGACCGACTAGGAACAACTGGTGCTCGTGACTCACCATTGGATATTCCGCGGCTCCGGTGGCGTCGACCTTCAGAGGTTTGTTGAGGACATTTTTAGCTCGGGCGGAATACTGCTGTTTAGAAAACCAAAAAACAAGGCCAAGGCCCGTCAGTTCTGATTAAATGGTTCTTTTTTGATACAATTTATTCAGAGAGAATTTCCTATGGACAGGAGCAGAAGCAGAAGCAGAAGCAGAAGCAGGAGTAAAAGTAGGAGCAGGAGCAAAACCAGGAGCAGGAGTAGGAGCAGAACTCCGTCCAAATCCTATGAAGAAGGTGCTGAAGTGAGTAGCCGTGGAGGAGATAAATCGCCTGCGGATTCTGCGCGCGCAGAACGACACCGTAGTCCGAGCGTGAGTCAAGCATCGAGTAGATATCAACAAGCTGAAGAGACACGTCCTAACCAGTTCGAAGGACAATTTAGGGGAACTTCTGACGAACCTTTGTCTCATAATGATGATAAGTTTCAGAATTCCAATAGAGATCGAACCAAGCTGGATGTAGATGATGTTAAACAGGAGAACTTTACAAAGAGATCTCGCAGCCGCTCGCCTGTCAATTCAGCTAATTATGAAGATGATCAGAGACTTAAAACCTGGGATAAAGAAAGTGAGAAAAATGAGGCTAAAGAGAATGACAATACTGATAAAGTTGGAAGAAATATTACTAGAAGTCAGGATCCTACGACTCAATCTATCAATGGAGAGAATGATAGCGCTGGCAGTAAACGCATACAAGAGGAGAACAATAATGATGAGTTCGTTGGCAGTCAAAAAGATAGGACAACAGACAACAACTCCGAAGAATTGAGACGTAGAAGAGATAGCGAACGATCATCTGCGAGTGTTGGCAATCGTGACAATTCTAGACATCCACCAAAGTATCAGGATCGAGCAAATGATGACCGAACAAACAATCTGCCTAGCTTTAGTAATGACAGAAGTCCAAATGGACCTCGCGATAAAAGTGAAGAAAGATCTCCAGGCTATAGAAATAACAGTAAGAATGACAGCAAATATCACAGCACAATAGATGTGCGAGGGCGTGAGGAAAGAGCTGACCAGGAAAGGAACATGGAAGGAAACCGAGACCGAGACAGGAGTCAGGAAATAAACATGGATAGGAAACTGGATAGAGACACAGAGAGAGGTAGGGAACGAAGCCTTGAGATAAACGACCCACGAGGCCAAAAACGTTTGTCTAATACTCCAGAAGATTCTATTTCTTACCCATGGCGAAAGTGTTTTTCTGAGCGACATCGAAAACCCTATTACTACAACGAAATTACGCACGAAAGCCGATGGAATATACCACTGGAAGACATGACTCGAACACATTCTCGCTCATTGTCCAAATCTGAAAACCATTCCGTTCCTTCGTCGATCCAGGATTATTCTGGCCGTAGCATTGGTCGTAGACTAACAGAAGACGACATAGGCACAGGGGTCAAGAAACGTCATCGTCCTGATGAAATTGACATGATCGAACCAACATCCTCGCAAAGACGGCGTGAGCCGATAAATCGTCGTCGGAGTGGACTTGAGGATGACGAGTTAATATCAGGTTCAGAAGGGATGAACAAGCGAGTTGGGCAGAATGTTGAACGAGGGAGATTTGAGGGTAGAGACATGGCCAGGTATTTACTATTTACGTTTCTGTATGAATTTGGTCGTCAAACGAAACATACTGCTGATTAAGTTGTGGACGCACGCTCATCGGCTTGGTTATTCATAATAACACCGTAAATAAAAACCAACTACAGACGTCCATCAGCAAGCTTCGATATAGAACGAGATCGTATAGATCGTCTCGATGCAGGTGATTCTGACTTATCAATCAAACGTCCTCGATCTACAACTTACCCCTATCATCCATCCTCCGAGTCATCGGAAACCAATCTGCACTTGCACGGGCCATCTCCTCAACGCCAATCAAATCGGTTTATTTCTGATCGTAGATCAAATTATATGCGTCAGAACGATCCAATTGGTAACCGAAGAGGACGAATGCTTGATGTAACTGGTGATGATAGAGTAGATGGATTAAGGTCGATGCAGGGTCAATACGGAAGTGGTCGAATTGATAATTCATACGGTAGACGCGCGAGCCATTCCATACAGCATGATATGGGTGGAATTCGAAATAGAATGGAATATGATGATCGTGGTGGAAGTTCGGGGTATGCTAGCAGGAGGGATAGTGGTTCTTATTCGAGGAGAGAGCCGTCACCATATGGAAGAAGAGATCCTTCACCATACGGAAGAAGGGAACCATCACCATACGGAAGAAGAGATCCTTCACCCTTTCGAAGGAGAGACCCCTCACCTTATGGCCGACGTGATTTTGCTCCGTACGGCAGAAGAACAAGTGCATCCAGTCAACTGGATTCTCCTATTTACCGTTCTCAAACATCCCTCCGTCCGCGTCCATCAGATCGTGACGACAACTCTATAACCGCTTCATCATCCCGTAAACACCAAGCGGATGTCTCTTCTTATGACTCACGTGCAAAGTTTTCGAGCAGGAATACTCATGATAGACAAAATTTGGCCTCATCTCATAGTTACGATAAGCCCTCAGAAGAGGTTAAAATAAAGGATGTTTCTAACGACGATACCTCACCCGGAGAGAATAATGATGATACACATGGTACTCCTCTGTTGTTACCTAAATCACCTTCCCGACCGCCGTTCTTCAAGCGTAGAGCCAGAGAGACAGTTGCCGATCAGATTGCTCCAGTGGCTTGTTTCTTTACGAAGGGACGTTACTAGGAATCAAAGTTGAAGAACAGTGAGAAGAATTAATGGAATTTTGGGGTTGAAGGACCTATTGTTTATCGAGAAAATTTGGCGATGGTTACGATTTGATAATTCTTGCTATGAAGAATAAATTGTATACTTCGTTCGTTGATATTATTGGCGTAACTAGGATAGCGGGAAATTGGATTTGGGTTCCCCTGCCGAGTGGATATAAATTAGCAAACTATTTTATGAACAATAAATAAATACTTATAAGGGCTAACCCTGGAGCAAGTCTTAAGTTGCCCTATGCGGAACTTGGCGGCAAGAAACTACGGACACTGTATTATCTACAGCTAGCTGGTCCATGATGATTTGATTATCCTTGTTCGTACTGGTCTGTTCTTCGGAACGCTATAGAATCTGGTCAACCCACGGATTTATTTACGATGTCTATGTCACATCAACTCTCTATTGAAAAGACTCTACTCCTTTTCTGACGTGAATTGATCTATGTACTTATCATGCAATCGATCCACACAACACACTTAAATGAAAGATGTTATTAAGCCTCCATTAGAAGGTTGGCTCTCTTTCTGTGCTCATTTTAGTGGATCTTTTTTTAGCATAATTGATTGATGGGCTCATACAATATTCCTGGAGTACCTTTGTATTCATTCGGGTTGACGAGCTCACATCTTCTGATATGAGTGAATGCTATGGAACTCTTTGGTTGACAACTTTGCCTATCCTTCGCTTTGCTATGAGGATAGACAGCTGCTGGAAAAGGGAGACATCATTCTACGTTGTATTTGAACTTGGAGATATTATTCCCACGTTATGACGAGCTCTATCCATCAAGAAGGAAAGCATGCAAAAGTTGAATCTTTATTAGACAGTGAAGATCATGTCAAATAATTTCGACAGCGTTGTTTCTTTCTCTTGAACGCCGAAAATAAAGACAACAAAACCTATAATAAAAATATCAAACCTAAATGTAATTACAGTAGGAGCATATAACAATATAATGAGATAGGAATGAAGGACATGACACCCCCCTCCCCCAATAAGAGAAGAAAAAAATGTACACTTTTGCTCTCTATTTCCCCATCCCATGTTGCAAAAACTCTTTCAGGTATGTTAAAAATATATGTAGTGTCCAGATAAGACTTGCCATCTGTATAGGTATATTAATGCATGGTGATATAATTATGAAGAAGAGATCTATTTGAAGAGAATGAAATAATTGAAAAAGGGCTAAGAACAGCTTTGAATGTGGAAATATAAATACTGAAGTGATAACTTGAAGCTGGTAAGAAGAATAGATTGATTGTTGCAGTTTATGTCAGAGGTGTAGGTGAAGCTATATTTTAACTACAATTGCTCTGTGAGTTACCCAAACCAAAACATGGGTTCAAAATCAACTCAAACAGATGGATTGCCAGAAATAAGAACATTACTTGTTGAACAGGTAAGGAGAAACATGTTAATATATTGATACAGGTAGGATACATCACATGATTTTACCTTGACATCACCATTGTGATTCTTGATAGATGACAATATAAATACTCCTCTACTGTTAATACTAAAAAGTTGCATCAGCATAATATGAAATGTATATGTTAATATGATGAAGAATTTAAATGTGTGGATGAGTACTTAATTTGTGAATAGCTTTGGTTATAAAAAGATGAACTGATTGATGAAACCAAAAATCATTACTATTTTATGCATGAAATCTTATCAGAGTCAAGTTGGAGGGTTATAGAAATATAATATTGCTTTAGTGGAATAACATGACTATGTTATTTAGTATTAGGTTATTCCCACTCATATGACGACGGTGTACTATATAATATGAAAGCATTTTATTCATAATATAATTTACGTAGATAAATATAGGTTTAAAGCTACTTACTATATGTAATTAACCTTGGCAAAATTCCACAATGCCGAGTCAATTATAGGTGTACAAACTGGTTAAGATGCGGTTTTTCCAGGATTGTAATATCTCTCAACGGATTAAGATCCTCCAATGAAAACGCTTTTAAACTAAAAGGAATAAAAATAGATAGTAAATTGGACAAATATTGCTATAATAAGTTGCGTAAGTTCTCTCTTGTCCTTACAATTTAGGTAAAGTTCCTGTATTAATTTTTTAATATTCTTTAATATTAAGTGTTCTGAATCACATCTATTGAAATCCATATTGTTGATGGCATTATCCCAGCCCTGCGCAGTGAAATCTTCATTGAAAAACAACGTAAGATATTCGTGGATATCATCAGTAATATAGTTGTCAATGTCATCAAAAACTTCATGCAAAATGGTTTTTTGAAGTTCCAAATCCAGAAATAATGAAAATTTCGATTTGGACGTAGATCCATTATAGATGTCTTAGGGAATTTACTTAAAAAGATTTTTGTAACTTCCTTTATGACGATGAAACTTGAATCGAGTCTTCAAGGATATCCTTAACACACATCGTCTATAGAAAATGGAAAAATCATTATTTTTCCTAAAATACCAACAGAAAATATTACCAGAGACGAATTTTACTAACACTACTTTCATCGGCAACTACAACTCCGCCTTCTTGTTCATTATTAACAGCAGTCTGTGTTTTTGTACTGGAATCTTGATTTTCAGAGCCCCTGATGTCATGATCGTTATTCAAAGACTGGATGTGTTCGGGCAAATTAGTCCGAATCCGTTATATCACTGTTTAATATAAAAGTCCGCTATAGTACTTAGTAAAAATTTCGTTCCAGCAAAAAAGTCCGTATGAGGCAAAATCCGTTATATCGACGGTCCGTTATATCGACTTTCACTGTGTACATATTAATATTAGATATACAGATCTCGCAAACCCGATAAACCGATAGAAAAAGGACTGTAGTTCAACAATGCGTAGCAAGTCATCGACCAGAGTCAGTTTTTGTTTCAGCTATTCCTATCGCCACAGCTCCATCTTTATGCAAGTTTGTTAATAAAGTCAGGACACTACGGTGTGTAACCTCAAGACAAAGTGAGTATTTTGAGGAAGAACATATTGCCCTGGAAAATTGATAACTGCACAATACATAAAATTTAGTTATAAACATTCCCTGAGACAAACATTGAAATGCCGAGTTGCTGAGGAAATCAATGTGGTCTGGCTCTGAATTGTTGATTCTGCCTCTTTGAATTACCACGCGGGGAGGAACCATCTATAATTGAGGAAGGAGAATTCATAGACACGTTGATAAAATACACGTGATTTACTTATCAGGTGACTTTAACTTCATAACATAAAAAAAATTTACAACCCCGTTACTTTCTTAGTCGAATACTATGCAAGCTATCAATCCACTACGGACAAGCTTAACTCGCTCGTGGCCCTCTGTGCGGACTTTCACTACCACACCCGTCAGAGGCCAAGCGGTCACGGCATATCCACAAACACAGAAAAAACCGATCGGTGGGTTTCGAGGAGGGTGAGTTTGTTCTCTCTGTGGGCTAACGAGACAGAAAACGTTAGACTTGACCCTATTGGATTTTGTGGGTGATCAGTCTTATAGGATTTCTCCTGGGCTTGACTGTCGCAGGAGGAACAGGATATTATTATCTGTTTGACGATTACCATGCAGCATCAAACTTATTACTTAGTGTAGTTGAAGAATTACAAAAATCGACTAATAAGGTAATTGCAGCCAGTTACTGTTAATAATGTCTTGGATTTCGATTAAAGTTTATATCTTACTTTTAGGTACGAGATTATACAAGTAAGATCGAACGTATCGATGCGGAATTAAAAGCTTTGCAGGAGAAGAGTGTGACAAGAGAACAATTATTGGACTTGAGAACCGATGTTAAGAAGTTATATGTACGTCTACAACCTGATTATTGGACATTCGATTATTTCCAGTCAACAATATGGCCTATTAATAGGTCTTTTTTTTTTATTAAAAAAATCGCTTATTTTGACACTCTTATAATATTGAAGGACGCTCTCAATATACAACAGCTTGAGCTAAAGAATCGTGTCTGGACCTTGGGTAAGCGTGTCATATGAATGAATTTTATTATCCGTGATGCTTTCTCTAAGCTATCGTTAAACTTGCAGAACAAGATCTCAGTAGAATTGAGAATTTTGGAGGTCAGCGTTAGAGAACGACAAATGTGTCGTCGAAGTATATACAGTATTCTTCTCGTTAATGAAAAGATTTGCTGCGCAACCGTTTCATTACGTTAATGGGAGATATCTCCATCGGAGTGGAGATTGTGGTTGCACTTTATCGGAGGTAATACTTTTGACGTAATTACGAGATCAAAGTAAAACGTGAATGAGGACCTTTTCGTATATGTGAAGCCGCGAATGTCTGTCATATGACAAAGGCAAACAGATTATCAAGAGATTTCTTATTGATAGTTAATATAAAATTGTAAATGAAATAGTTTTAGTCAGCGCTAAACATTCATACAGTTGTGCTTGTTATCCTGCATTTTAATTTATGCGTAAACTCCTGGAAGAAAATATTGCTGGTCACGCGACTCTATACGTGTATGCCATAATCTGCCATGCTGTCTCTCTTCATCCAATTTTCCAAAATTCCCGCAGTAGACTGAAAACACCACCGCTTTCGTGCTGTTTATTATACCGATCATATCTCAGTAGTAACTTGAATATTTATTAATCCTTATTAACTTATTACAAACATAATTAATCTAGCATTACAAAAACCGCGACGAAAAATCACAATAGAACGTAATTAAATCATGCTTAGTCAATAGTCGCACCCCACCTTATTAGTCTCCTTCTTTCGCTTCATTCACTACCACTTCCCCATCTTTCTTTTCAATATCATCATCTTTCATTCGATGCCAAACATAATCCTGTGCAACACACGTCACTGCCAACCGAATAGCTTCGATCATCTTCTCCTCAACCCACTCATTATCTGCATACGGAATCTCCAACCATGATATAGGAAGTGATTGAGAGAATGTATAGAAATTAAGATGATGAGTAGGATCGTTTAGTACGACTGTGTAATAGAGATACTTATTCTCATTTTCGCCATCCAACGAAGGAATGGGTGAGGCTTTGGTTGGTTGAATGGCCATAAAGACTGGACATGTAGTGACAGGAGGAGCATCGGGTGATAGGGGGGACAATGGTGGGTGATCCGGGGGAAAGAAGGTCGAGGTTGGATGTGGAATAAAATGATGTTTGATTGTTTGTTCAATGTTTGCCTGATGAAGGAGATAGATAGCGGGTAAGTGAAAGTACTGAAGGAACTGAAGGACAGAAAGGAAATGAGCTACGCTAACAGTTGCAGTATCTATAGTTATTGTTGACACAAACGAAAATAGAATTCAAATCTTCAATCTCCTCTCTATTCTCTCCAACACAACATTTGTTCACCTTTGCAATTCCAATCGCTTCAGCAAATCCTTCACAAACATTCAAGTCTTTTCCTCCTTCATCTACAGCATCCCGTTGCTTGACTTCGCTACCTTTTCTAACCAGAATATCGCCACCTTCTACTTGCTCCATGATTCTCATAAACGCATGATAAACTATCGATTCCAATCCGACATAACCAACCATATCGTGCGTAAGCCATACTTCAACCACTTCGTGCTCGGCGATTGGAGGTGCTACAACGTTAACGACTGTTGTGAGTGTTGATAGGCTCAACGTTTTGAGATCGGTGCCTAAAAAAAAACAAAACCGTTTAATGTAAGGGTAGAAATCGATCGATTGCGAGAGGTCAATTGAACGTAAACTCGTCAACAAGACTATCCGATCACCAATTACCGATTTTTTCGATGGCTTCTTTGTTGACATATTCCCTCACACGCTCTTCAAATTTCTTAGTAGTTTCGTTGGCGCGTACGGTTTCAACAGTAGCAAGCGCGCCCTTGACAGAAGAGTCTACAACCGTAGAAGCTGTTTTGTATGCAGTTGTCGCCGTTGCGAGTAAGTTATTCCACGCCCAGCCGGCTCCTATAGTTTCTGTAAGAGAGGCTTGTTTTTGTGGAGGCTGCTGATCTTGTGAGGGCTGTTGCTGTAGTTGTGCTTGTACCGATTTTACTTCCGTTCTATTCCCCTCTATTTTCTTTCCAGTAGCAACAGTCGTCCCTGTCCCAGTACTGTTTGGAGGTGTAGCTGCAGTTGGCTTTGTTTGGGAGAATTGATCAAGGAACTCAAACACGGCTCTCGTGTCTGCTGCCTGGGCACTTCCGCCTGGACCACTCGCATTTGGGGTTGCGTTGGAAGTCGATTGTGAATAATTCTCTATCGTTTTGAGAAACTGATAGACATCTTCTTTTGAGTTTGCATTTGTTGGGGGCTTATTATCGGCCATTAATTGCTGTTGAGCTACTGCCGCAACGAAAACTAAAGTGATCAAGAATTCCCGAGTTACTATCACTATTGTTATTGGTCGAAATCATTTAGAATTTCACACAACTTGAGGTCGTACAAACACCCGGTAATAAAAGAAGACTTCAAGCAACAAGAACAGTAATAATCAAGTTCTTAAATAACTCTTTTTTTATTTTCTAATTAATTAGTCAAAACCCATAATTGTTCATGGTTAGGGTGTATGCACATTGACTAAAAATGGCTGATGTTGACAATAAACATTATAACACATTTAATATAGGATTATGTTTATAAAAAAATATAATATGAACCTAATTTATATCAAATTAATGGATACCAAGTCTTTGCAAGCATATTTAGATAAAGAAAAAAAAAATACTTAGTAAATTTACCAATCTTTAAATTACTTCCTTATTTTTAATCAAGGCCATTTTTTAGTTTCTTTAACAAACTTGACCATTCTGTGACCTTTCTCCTCTTCTAATTTTTTCTTCTAAACTCTTTATCTCATTTAATAATTCTTGTTTCTGCCTTTTACTTCACTCTTCGGATTTTTCTTGAAATTACATTAATATTAAGCGCTAATTAAATAATAATCCTGATATCAAAAAATCGAAGGCAAGTTCAACTCCATACACCGCTGATTATGATACGGGAAAGCGTTTTGCACTTTTACCAGCGGTAGAAAAGCTTACCAGAGATGAACGAAATAAATTTATAATTACAAATATGAGTTTATTAGAATATAGAGAACCATTCCATGTGCAAAGAATTATAAGCATTATTAAATACAAATATCGAAATGTGCTGAAGATGATGATTACCAGGGAACTACGACCGCTTATATATCTCCTATTGCTTCACTAATTTAATTAATTTTCGATAAAATGGAATAATTAATTAAATTTTCGGTCCAAAAATCTCGACGTGCTACGTTTGTCATGAATTCCGCAGCTCTTACTCAAAGCCGATGTATACTAATGCAAAAATTAGCGTTCAACGGATGCCATCGAATTGGTCAGTATTTGGTCGTGCAAAATACTTTTAAACTGTATCTTTTCCAGTGTCATTGTCTGATATTAATGATACAGGTTGGTTACTTGGATTGATTGATCCCAAGTCGTCTTGCGAATACTAACTAATACGTTCCTTCGGTTATTGAACACGTGAGATGGTTCAGGTTCCACAACGTATTTATTTCTTAAACCATTTTCTATGTGTAACTGTATTAGTATGCTAGTTATAATTATGGCATTAAAGGAATTAGTGTAAATTTTCCCGAGATTTGGTATATTCCACTTGCTGCGCAGTAAACTTGTATATTTAGTATCCGTCTTCTGTATCAATTCTCGAAATAATAGTAATCGCGCAATTCTGGTGATTGAATGAGGAGATCTTTTTTTAAACTGTCGGCGGTTGTAGTGGAAAGCGTATTCATTTTTCCGGGTAAACAACGTCAATGCTTTTTAAGAATAATACAAGCATTTGTGTATCAGTCATTTTGTCCTTCTTGACAAATGATATGATTAGCGAAAATTCGAAGTAACCTTTTCGGGTAAAATTAGTCTTTGTGCGGGCCAATTTCTTAAGGCTTTAAGGGAAATGAAAACACCATGTTACACGATTTTGAATAAAATACCTGAAAACAAAAATTCTTGCGCTTGACAATGGGTAGACCTACAAAACGCACTCAAATCTGTCGCGAGCTTGCTAGAAAAAGGAAAAAATCAGATGCCCCTTATAATACAGTAGCGGACGATGTTATTAGTGATGATTGTTATTTTACAGAAGATGCGATTGGAGATGGATTAGATGATGAAGCGGAAGACGCGATTGGAGAAGAGAGTAATGAATTTGAGGTGTATAACTGGTCTTTAAGCTGCTCGTCAAAGTTTTGATCCTATATTGAACGAAGATTTCATTTGTTAAGGAAGAGGAAGAGCTAGTTGTCATGGGACCAAGCGGACAGTTTCGTGAAATATGGCCGGAAATTGATCCAGTATACGATAGCGATACTTCAACCGAAGACGTAAGTGCATGCGATGCCATTGATTCATTTTGCTGGAATTCTTGCATGATCTTTCGGCACTTGTAGGTACAAAATACAGTCGGAAATATACCAATGGAATGGTACGATGACTTCCCCCACATCGGCTACGATGTTAATGGACAAAAGGTTATGAAACCTGCCATAGGGGATGAACTTGATAAGTTCCTGGATAAGTTAGATGATCCCGATTCATGGTAATGATAATAGCGATCGCTTATTACAACCTTATGCTTCAGTAATGTATTGGCGTCTGCCAATATCGACACTAAAATGTCTTTATATTAACCACAGGATGTCCGTTAAGGATGATCTTATGCAGCGAGATGTGAAATTAACAGATGAAGAATTGGAAATAATTCGCAGAATCCAGATGCATGAGATACCAGATAAAGATTACAATCCGTATGAACCCACTGTCGAATGGTTTACAAGTAAACCGATGGTTATGCCATTAACTGCTGCTCCAGAACCCAAACGGCGATTTGTTCCATCTCGTTGGGAAGCGAAAAAGGTAGAATATAACTTTAGATTGTAATTCTACAATTAAATCTCATGAGCTAATTCAATAATTGCCTAAAGATTATGAAAATTGCCCGAGCAATACGCGAAGGCCGCATCCTTCCTCGTAAAACGCAAGCTGAACCACCCCGCTTCTATGATCTTTGGACTGATACCGAACAATCTCGTTCAGATAATCCAATGCATCTGCCTGCTCCCAAAATAAAATTACCAGAACACGACGAAAGCTATAACCCACCTGAAGAATATGTTCCGACTGAGAAGGAAAAGGAAGAATGGGAGAAAAAGGATCCAGAGGATAGAGATAAATCTTATTTACCGAAGAAGTTCGTGTTTTATTTTTACTTGTTTTAAAGTAAATGAAAGTATATTGATAATTGCTGTCTTATTCTGCAGGTACTCGAGTCTTCGAGCAGTTCCTGCATATGATAAATTTTTAAAAGATAGATTCGAGAGGTGTCTTGACCTGTATCTAGCCCCTCGCGTAAGGAAGAATAAGGTAAATTGCTTCATCTTGGAAAATTGTATTGATCTTGCTATCTTTTGTCCCTGGTGATATTCGTATTCCATGTAACATTCTTCACTCATTCCGTCTTATTTTAGCTCAATATCGATCCAGAATCTCTAATTCCTAAGCTTCCTCACCCAAGAGACTTGCAGCCTTTCCCAATCAGTCTCACCCTGTCATACGATGGTCATGCTGATCGTGTTCGCACATTTTCTATCGATCCTACTGGATTATGGATAGTTTCCGGTTCCGATGATCGGACAATACGAATGTGGGAAGTTACTACCGGTCGATGTGTGCAGAAGTGGGACGTTGAGGATATCGTATATTCTATCGCCTGGTGTCCTAATAAGGATATCTGGATATTTGCCGTGACGCTGTAAGTTATTTGGCAGTACATCAGATATTAAACATGAGAGAAAGAAGTATTTCAAAGAACATAATGGATTCCAATGAGGCTCACATGATTTATTTTTGTCTACAGTTCAAATAAGGTTGCTTTTATATCACCGCGTCTTATGTGTAGTGAAGAAGTATCGAATTTTGCAGCGAAATATGCGTCTGCAGGATTTAATATGCAGAAAGCTGGTAATTTACATATTAAAAGCAAATGACGGATGTTGCTGTTAATTTGTTAACTTTACGATCAATTATAAAGACAAGAAGCCTAGTGTTGTTGAATGGGTCAAACCAACAGAGAACCAAAGACAAAATGGATATATAGTTATTATATCACATCTGCACGACCACGTAAGTAACAAGTACAACTGATTATGTGATAGTATGAAGAAATAGTAAACGTAAGTTTATTTTGTAGACTGTGAAACAGGTTACGTGGCATCGCAAGGGCGACTATTTCGCAACTCTCGCACCAGATGGTAATCAAAGGCAACGTAAATGCTTGCGGTTATATCATTGGGTTTTAGGTTTACTCTATTTTTTTCTTTTTTTTCTTTTTTCAGCTGGAACACAGGGTATTTTGATACATCAATTGACGAGGCATCATAGTCAGCAACCATTCCGTAAGATTAAAGGTTTAGTACAGCGAGTGATATTCCATCCGATAAAACCAATTTTCTTTGTGGCCGTGAGTAGACAACGTTTTCATATACCATTCGCGCGATTGAGTACTGGGTTTTCTCACACTCCGTTTGGTTATTATATTCAGACACAGAGATATGTTCGCGTGTATAATCTGACAAAACAGGAACTCTCCAAGACGCTTCTGTCAGGAGTCAAATGGATATCGAGTATAGATGTTCACCCGATGGGGGATAATGTTATTATCGGAAGTTATGACAAGCGATTATGTTGGTTTGATTTGGACCTGTCGGCAAGACCATACCGAACTCTTCAGTAAGCGAAGCGAGATTTAATTATATTGCATATTTGTTCCTGAGAATTAATCTTCATGTGCGTATGTAGATACCATAGAATGGCAACTCGCTGTGTGGCGTTCCATAAGAGGCTTCCACTGCTTGCATCTTGTAGCGATGATGGCACTATTCAGATATTTCATGGAATGGTGTATAACGATTTATTGCAGAACCCATTGATTGTACCAGTGAAGATATTAAAGGGAGGACATAATATTGTTAATAGTTTAGGTAAGTGAACTTGTATTCTGATATTTATGCAATTCGCTGAGTATACATCAAATTATTGAGCTATTGTTATGCTAGGTGTATTGCATTGTGAATTTCATCCTTCGCATCCTTGGATTGTGTCTTCCGGTGCAGATCACAAAATAAACCTATGGACTTGCTAAGTATTTTTTGCGAAAAATGCAAGATTAGTGAGTAATTTAATAAATAGACGACTGTACAATACATCGAGTATCGACAACTTCAACAAAAGTGACATTTGATCTATGCAATGAGTCGTGGCTAAGTAGAAGCATAAGCTTTTTCAAATCGAAATGTTGTTGGATTACTCAAAAAGTTCTGTACGTAGGGAGTCTGCGAAAATTTACTGGCACAATGAGTACCATGATGGATAAGTCGGTTTCGCGCCAACACGGCAGAAGTCTACGACCTTGTTATCATTTATTAAAATTCGACAAGTCAGCGGATCTATATACGCCATGACTAGTCGACAAGGACAGGATTGATTGATAATACAATTTATTGTCTTCAAATAACTGGAAAAAGATGAAATGTTAATTGAAACAATACAATGTTAGAACCGTTGCAGTTGAAGATTATATTAACGTTGAGGAATCTGACGTAATTGACGACTATGCATTTTCGAAAAGAAAGAGACCGAAATATTTACACCAACAGGAGAACTTGAGTACAATGTTCCATAAGACATTACTCTGCTTACCTTTAAGGACAAATTTAATATAATCACTAGGAAACTTTGATATAGAGTTGTCATGACAATAGTGTGCAGAATATATATTTTTTCTTAATTACACGCAAGTATGATATAGCTTGTATCATAAATTGCGAGAATAAAGTTGAGACACAATGTAATCATGCGAAAGAATATTGATATAAAAAAGATCCCAGCCATTCTATTAAAGTTGTAATAAAATACTTTAGAACAACACATTATTTGATGAATATTGCAAGCTATGTACTGAAGATTGTTTCATTGCATGCACTATATATTAATATTAGATGAATCATGTACTGCTAATCTGTTGCCCGTTGAGCAAATAATAATATTAAAATACTATGATCGATAGTGAAAATAATTAAATTTATCGTCTACGATTTTGAACGAGTATAATAATAAGGAATTCCTTAATTAGACGCGTCGGAATTCATCGCCCTTTTATAATTAATACACTTTTCGACCAAGAATTATTATTAGTTGTTGTTCTAATATACTAGTTCTATTCTTGTGCGTCGTTGTTGTACGGAAATGTCTATTACTATTGCCACTTACGGCAGTTAGATTAATATCTAGCTGCAGTTGCAATTCTGTTTTTCCAATAAATCAGTCAGATGCGAAAGCATCCTCATTTCATGAGAAAGTTTGAGAAATCATTATCTATGCTTTTATCGTTACTATTTGAATTGAATTTTGATATTTATTTATATAACAATAGAGACGATAAGTTTTTGTATTGACATAATCACCACTACCCCCAAAACCCTCTATATAATTTCTTATATTTTCTTTTTTATGATCTTTATCACATAAATGGCAGGGGCCCCCGGCTGAAATTTCAGGAGTCGAAGACTTGTCTTTTTGCATCATGTGATGCGATTCCTGCTCGGTGAAACTATCTATTATTTCTTGAATTTTATCATTAGTTAACTCCGAAATAGAATTCGCACTATAATAATATCGAAGTTGAAGGAACCGATACATCTTCTGATGAAGTATTGTTCAAGTTTTGTTCCCGGAACTTCGGTCGGCCTCACTAGCTTTTCGTCTTTACCATATTTGGTAATACAAAATTTTCAGTTACCAAAATAGTCAGGGGCGATGGACTTAGTGAAGGGGTCTTACCCTTCGGAAGGGGTGATACCATATATGGAAAATTAGCCGTTTTAGGACTACTTGTGTAATCAATATATGATACAATCTCGCATTAGTGACATGTGAATAGCTTTAATAGTTATAATATCAACATTAACATCAGATCGCATCTTATCTGCGCCCATCCTAAGTAATGCCTTATTTGACAATAGCTAGTGAGCACCCATCATTCCAAAAATTTCCGATTTCCAAATCTGTTAGGGGCGATGAGCTAGTGAGGCCGACCTTCTTTTCCCTAATTCTCTCCATTATCTCTTTACTAACCGTTTCCTTATATGTTGAATCCAGGAATTCATCTACCTCCTTTTCATCCAATGATTCTTGACATATATCAGAATTTGAAGCATTATCGGATATTATACATCTGGTAGACATCCAAAGCATAATTTTATCTTGATCAAAAATGTACAACACAAAAATGGTTATCGATTACCTCATATATGTATATCTGATCATTCCCCAAGAGAATGGTTTTGTAATGTGACCACTTATCTTACCTTATATATCAGAAGCACTTATTATTATATGAAGTTTCATCTAGCAGATATGTAAATCGGCACCTGGATCCGCCCACCGCGACCCAAAAACCCTCTTTGATAAGTGTCTGGTTATCTAAATCTTATCATCCAAAATCGCACGAAAACCCCTTCATATGATCCAGGTATCGGAATATTAATTTTTTATTTGAATTTTTTCTCTTATTTATTGTAAGAGGCGACAAAAATCCCTTTACCCGGATATATAACTAGATTGTATTATCTTGAACAACAGTTACGCATATTCAATGAGGGCCAAAGAGCGGGTTTTAATTCTTTTTTGTATGGAGTGGTAGGAACCTTCATTTTAGCCTCAAAATTTCGTTTATATTCCAAGAAAGCGACCTCATTCATACTCTCGCGCTCTTTTTTCTTTTTTTCTCTCAAGTTCGAAAAAAAGTGATACTCCAAGGTATAATTAACTAAAATATTCAAGTTAAATTCTAATATTCGGTTACCTAGCCCACGCATCCCGCAACTGATCACTTTTCCTCTCCAATCCCCATGTACGTCTTAATATAACGAACCACATAACGGCAATAATTAACAGAGTAAGAAAAATATATGCTGATAGAGGTGACATCAAAGTACTTGCCATAACAGGGGATTGCTCCTATCCCTCCTATCGGAGGAATCAGAGATTCGGCACTATGTGCCATGTGGAAATTCGATTCAATCAATGAGGACATATTGTGGCTCTGCTATTATTTTCCCGTTGTGCAAGGTATGGAGTCACATTCGGTATTTCTTGGAGTATATTGTTGTTAGTTTTACTAATATCGATTTCGTCACTTACCTTGGGAATAATCTCGGTATCTACTTTTGGAGATGAGGTATAGCCTCGAATTACTGATTCCTCGGGTATAGGAGTTCTTTCATTATCAGTGTTATCCGGTATAATATTATCGATTTTTCCGGCTTGATTTATATTTTTTTATGTATAAATATTGACTGAGATTTCTATCTGCAGAAATATTATTGCTTTGCAATGGGGTTTCACCCCTGCTAGAATTCGATATAAAACTTTGTTCCCTGCTCTGCATATTTTTTTCGTCATTTCCACCAACCACGGGTATTGATATAGCCTCCGATTTCAGATTCTCAAGCTCACTAACCGTTGAAGCTAACTCTTGTTCTAATTCAGCTATTTTGGATTTGAGGGATAAATTCTCAGATTTGCGAAGTACATATCGAGAATTAACTTACATACGACGACTAAACAATATAAAATTTTCGTTCAGCAAGATTTCTGCCGTTGTAACGAGATGTCGTTATATAGTAATAGCAGCGTGACCAAATTTGTAAAAGTATTGTCACGTGACATAACGGAGCAAGCTCTGGTTATAACTAATAACAAACTCTGGTTATAACGAACAGCAACGACGATTTATATATCTATTACCGTGTCAAAAGAAATGACTTTAGCATAGATTGTTCCTTAGTATTAAAATAAGAACTTACAAAATCAAATAATAATAAGGAAGAAACAAATTAATTTAATGAAACAAACTACTCTACACTCACCGGACAAAAGTATCGAATCAGCTCGACAATCAGTAAAACATATGAAAAATTTAAATTTTCGAACATCTGTATTGGCATTATTTACTAAGCAAACAACCAGAATTTTTATATTGTTATGAAGCTAATTGACTGTAGTATTCGAACAAAATACTCATAAATTTAAACAAGTTGTTATAGTGGAGCTATTATCTGCCAAATTATCACATTTATTTAGTCGCATAATAACGGTGAAGTAATTATTGATTACATTTTTTTCTTGACATAGTCAGAGACACAGTGATGCTAGTAGAACTAATATGGAAGTTCACTATATAATTCATATATACTTTCAATCTCCTTGTTCCAATTAATAGTATCTGAAGACTTGTTTAATGAATTTTCTCTTTGCTGGATACGATCAGGTTGACCCATTTCATTATTATACCAAATTTTATAAATTCGGCGAGTTGAAGTATTATATTTATTAGCCATTGTTTTGGCCGCATTTTTAACTGTACCTCGGGATTTTATGATCTCCTCAAGTGCTTCCGGAGATAAATAAGTAGCATCTGCACGATAGTATTTTTACTAATATATTCCATTCTATTACCGAAACTTTTCAAAAGGATTTTAGGCTTTAATATCTATTTTTTATTGTTTAATATGGCTAATGTACATACACTACGAGATATTAGCTCTAATAAAGGTTATCGTCTTGGTAGTATGCGTGAGCAAGAGCTCGAAGAAACTTTACACCGCAGTTTAAAGTCCATATCCGAGCTAAATGATTGTAATGAGGCATTGCAATCTAAATACTTGAAACGAATGAAGGCTTTTAATCGAGAGAAAAAGAGGTGGAATCAGGATTCATTACGAAATAATACTGAGATCCAAAAGTTACGCACCCACGCCTTGCAGGTCATTAATGAGCATAAGCAACTACAAAATGAAAATACTAATCTTATTTCTCATAACGCACAAAAGGATATTTTTATTGCTGAATCCAAAGCTGAGATGTTACAAAATCCAAGAAAATCAAATTACTCAAGTCTATGATCAAGATATTGGAAAGTAAGTTGTCTTCAGCCCAGAAAGGTGTGATTTCGATTCAAAACGACTTATCGAAAAAAGAGGCACAAGGACATTCTCGATATAGTGACCATTTGGATTGGAACCGAGCGTGTCGTTATATCGAGACCCACTTGTATACACTTTGCTTATTTACTAAATCTAACAATAAAAACATTCAAGATCGAAAATAGAATAAAAACTTTATCAACTGCTTGTACATAATGAAACTACTCAATATCAACAATTTTATCCTCAAAATAGTGGGTTGTTTAAATAATTAATCCAATTCGTCTATTTAAGTTTCTCAGGACTCTTACTTCCTCATTTAACCTTACCAAATTGTTAACTTGGTAAGATTGACGCCAGGACTATACAACAAGATTTCATCAATAATTTTACGCCAATAGTCTGCCTTTTTGATTTTCTAAAGCAATAACTTCTGCATAATATTACACGTGATCTTTTATGCTTCGTGTTATAGGAAAGGTAGTTCGGATTCGTTATAAACAGATTTATTAGTAAAAGTTCGTTATAACCAGATTTATTAATTAGAAAAAATCGGGTCTGGCAATTCTGGTTCGTTATATCCAAAGTTCGGTATAAGCAGCGCCAACTGTGAAAAAAGGGTTGACTTGTATTACTATTACTATATTATGAAAAAGAATTTTTTACTAATTCCATCCAGAGAATTGATTTATTTTTATTTAGTATTGGATGTGGCAGGTAAGGAAGGCTGTGCAAATGTTTGATACAATTATATGATACATAGAACCATCAGTTTAAATGACTAGTCACTCAACATAAAGGCATAAGTATCAATACTAATAATAAACTTGGTATTAATACACACTATTGCCGCCATTCCTTGTCAATCATGATCTATTGCTATTACATTTCTATCCACAGCAATCAGTACTTTAACATTGGTCAAATTTCCGATACTCATACTTATTTCTCTAACTTTCTTAGTATTAATATCCAATTCAAGTAATTGATCCTTGGCCCAAATTCCTCCTCTACAGAACACATAAACTTTAGTGTCAATAACAGTAGCACTCTTTGTATGAGACCAATTAATCTTTCTTTCTTCACTTCCTTCATCAAAGAACTGTGTATAATGACCCGTCTCAACATCTACTTCCCACAAACCATAACAAAAAGCATACAATTTTCCCTCAACTTCAACTAATGCATGACAATTACTCCAGTTGTCACTTCCTCCTCCTAGTTTAGTGACTTCATTAGCCACAGTATCAATACACCAGAGGTTATTAGCTGACGTGGTGGCAAAGATTTTCATCCCGACTGATGTAGCAGCATTGACTTTTGTCCAAACGTCAGTAAATCCACCAAGAAAATCGGTACATTGACCAGTGCTAGGGTCATCAACTAACCATAGCTTATGGCAGAATGCGAATAGAGGATGTCCTTCTACGCTGTTGGGAACAGCCACGAGAGCATTACATGTGCCCCATCCATTCCAACTTACGTTATGAGATTCCATAGCAGCAAGATCGATTTCCCAGAGATTGTTAAAAGATGTGGTAACGTAAGCTTTCCGGGTCGAAGGAATTATAGCGGCTGCCGTAGCACTAGTCCAATCACCTAAATCAAGCGGTATGGTTGCTCCGGATAATGGATTTATAACATACACGTATCTTCCGATAGCGAGAAGGTAGGCGTCTGGCAACATTATATGGCGACAGTACGAACTTCAGGCAGAATACGAGTTCTTTTGATGATATGAAATAGGATAGAATTGCGGCTCACTAGAGAGAGCGTTTGTTAATAATGCGGCGAAGTGGTTGGTAACTCTATAGGAGATGAGTTCTGTCCAATGGCCCATGGACACCTACAATGAGAGTTGCGCTAACCATAGTTTCATCTCGTATGAAGGAAATCATGTACAATTTAGGGTGGCACCCCAACTTTACTGCGCCAAAAGTTGCGTAATAGTAATCACACTAAGCACTTCTACCGCACAAATCTAGTTTCCGCATATAGAAGGTGAATTGGTCAAAGAACATGCGCATCATCGTTATCAATTCCAATAAATGTAGTTCTTGATAATAGTAATCTAATTGCTAATCGAGAGTCTTTTTGTTAGTGTGAATAGTGTTATACTTCACTGCACTAATTTCAGATGCTCATATGCGGCACTAGTGAATAGGAAATAAGTAATAACTTAGTTTAGCGTAGGATATCAATTCTAGTCTAAAAGCCGAGCGGCACTAACTAGTCAACGATTTTATCACCCACTCAAATTAAAAGTAATCGTGTGACAGGTTTAGTGACGTCCACTAAAAATCTTATTTTGTGGCGTTACTCAGATCAAGTATGTAATTTATTAACGAGAGATGAGTTTGAAGGTTAAACTATCATTCAGGTAAAATATGAAAGGGTTATATATATTTAAATTTTCAGCTTAATCATATTTATCTAAATTGTGCAGTGGAGGAATGGAATTACTATTTAATAATAATAAATCAGCCGAAGTTAAAATACCAGCTTCCATTAACCCACCCAATCCAACAAATATGCAGGACTTGGTAATTTATAGTGCAATGTTCTATTTGCTTTGCTATCAATAGACGCTGAATTTCATTGCATACCTTAGATTTTTTGGATACGAGATAATCTACTCAAAGAACGGCCAGGATTATTCATAAGTGAAAACACAGTGTATGTAAATTCCTCATATAAAGGGAACACCCGTTTAATGGTTGCTCACCTGTTGTACATTACGTCCTGATTCACTCTTACACCATTACTTATCAGACGACCAGGTATTTTGGTATTAATCAATGAGACAGACTGGGAATTGGAAGGTGAACTAGATTATGAGATCAAAGATGGCGATGATATCGTGTTTATTTCTACTTTGCATGGGGGCTAGATAGCACATTGACAATACAAATATACGCATTAGGCACAAGAGCGTTCTCTGTTCATTCAATGCTCATCTTTATACCCACAATCTATCGAGCAAAGTTAGTATTGAGATAGTCAACAAATAATTCAGCCACTCGATTCATGTCAAGTATCGTATGCAGCTTGTTAATGTTTGTAAACTGTCGTCTGAGACGCCGCAGCTCGGAGAGTGTCACCATTCGGGACGGAAGACTGACGTATCTTATAATAGTTAAGAATGATAATTTTCGATATAGTTATCAATAGTGACTATGCTTCACACACTCGAATGCAAGGTAAAATGATGACTGGTGCGAGGAGAAAGGATATCTGTTGATTTACTCCTGCAATTTTCACATTGCCACCGCCAATATTATGTTTCTGTGCTTCCAATACTGCATCGACTATCTCTTGTGTCGTCTTCTCTAGCTCGTACAAGTAACTGGTTTCACTCGCTGGTTTCTACGTGAATGTACGCGATGTATTATCAAGTCAATAGTCCTTAAGAACATACCGACTTATGATACGTACCACTACAGTTGATTGATTGGGTGGCTTTGGCAATCGTACGATTACAGCATCCCAGATAGCGTCACATGAAACACTCGTGTCATCAGAGAGAACAGTGAAAAGTGGCGAATCCCATCGATTACGATCGTCTGGTTCTTCAAATCGACTGACTAGTTCGTTAAAACTTGTCAACACCATTAATTATGTTAATCAAAGTCGGGAATGTTGGATATCTGAAAACTGTAAAACACTCGCTCGCCTAATCAATGGCCCTTATTCCGCGTGATTGGACCTTACATGCACATCGATTGCATAGCTGATACATACACTGTTGAGCCATATCCTTCCGCTCCTCTCTTTGTATTCCATTCTCTTGCTGTATCTATCGATACTCCACAATATACCTACAAAAGCATCATTCCCAATTGTGCTTGATTACATCCATTGTATGAGAACGATAAGGTCATTGACTAATTCTCCGATTTTCATCCGTCATTTCTCATCCAACTTTCTATAGTGCTATTTACCACACAATGAGGCGTTCCAACAGCACGTGCAACACAATAAAGTTGATATCTGAATCCTTTGATATAGTTCATTCCATCTGCTATTATTAAATCATCTTTCGACAAGAGACGCTCAACCGCAGATAACATCGCTCCTCGAGAATGTTTCTCGTCCACCCTTGTATCTATTCAGCAAGTAATGGTTATATTTACTAGCCACACTTTAGACCTTGTGAATTATATTACTGACATACCTTGATAACTGTCTTTCGATATTCCCAGACTTTCATCATTAATCAAATGAACCCGATTGGTCCGTCTCTCTCTGTTAAATCGGTCATTGAAGTAGTTTAGTATTTCTTTCGCGCGTGTCGTTTTACCACTGGAAGGTAAACCGGAGATAACGATTAGAGGCATTATGGATGGGGATATATATAGCGCCACAGGCAATGTTCAAGGGTCAAATTCCTTATTTTATCGATGATTGGGTGAGCGCTTGAGCCACAAAAATTATAGCAATACGGTGGCAACTAACATTTGCTCCGCGTTCGATCTCAATCAAACTGGGCTCTGTTAGTCTATCGACAATAAACGAGCTTTGTATTGAATAAGCCATAATAGCTGAGCTGCGGCTCGCAGCGCGCTGGTCATTTCTGCGAACGGGGCTGCAAAAATGTAGTATATAATGACTATGTTTGATGGCAAGGTTTGTGTATAGAGCAAGATATGATACTGACTGATTGAAGCATGATTGATGCTGTAGTGTAGATTTAATTGAGCGCTCTAGTAAGAATTGGGAAAGATTGAAGAGTATAATTCCAATAAGATAATGATCTAACTTGAACGTTATGTTAGAAACAAAATCGTTACCAAAAATCGGAGACAAACCATAGATTACTTCAACAGAGTGGGGAATTCACACAATGTACGAAATTGACAAAAAACTTAAAAAGTGTACGATAAACTTCAACCGTAAATTCTCTACGTTAAAATTGCTAGGAAATAATAGTCATGGGACTTACCCAACTTGTAGTTGATAATTAGTAGAAAGCAAGTTGC